GAGGTTGGCCCAGGATCGGACATTGTTTCATTCTGCTGTGCATGGGGTCGCTATGAGTTGGTTCCGACTCTATGGCACCTGACAACAACAACAACAACAACAAGAGATAAGATTGTGAAGTAGCCAGCTAGGAGTCAGGAACACTCCGTGTGTATTTTGGACATTTTTGCACCATCTCTGCACATTCTATACTCACTATTGAGTCTTACTGACCTGCTCTGGCCCATAGCCTCTTTTGGTTTATTTTTCACTCTGTATGGTCAGTATTTTATTTTAATTGGGTCATATTCCTACAACATTCTGGTTATTGTAATAATTGGCTAAATTCCAAAGAAAATTTTGCATGAATGAGTATGATTTAAGGTACAATCCCATCAAAGTAACATTTTCAGCACTTTATAAATGAAAAGACCCTGGGTCTTGTGGCTTCCACTTAGAAGCACAAAGGAATATGATAATGCCCCTGAAATCTTAAGGCTTATTCTAAATAGGCATTCAAGCTACTGAAATTTACGTATCATTTGACAGCTCTCAAAAGTATCAGCTTTGGTTACATTAACATCTCTATCTATTAAGATTTGGTTAGTCATAGCTGGCTTCTATTTTTAAAAAATACAGTACATTTTCTGTCATCATCATTATCTCAGAGTTCATTTGAAAAGCAAAACTCACCAAAGATGTAGAAAGTATAAGGCCATCCGATAGTCTGGCAGAGGAGACCACCAACAATGAAGATGATGAAGGATCCCAGAAGTGCCCCTGACACAAGATGCAAGCATGTGCAGGGTGAAATGGGCAGGCTTGAGACTGTGTTCTTCCTACACACTGACTCCTTTAACAAAGCTGAGCTGCACAGTGATTAAAAGTATGAGCTTTAATCCAGACTATCTAGGTTCAAATCCTATTCCTTCATTCAATAACTCTGTGATCTTGGACAAGTTTTTGATAACTTTGTGCCTCTATTTCCTTCTGTGTAAAATGGGAATGATTGTACATAGTTGACTCATTGAATTGTTCTGAGACAATATCAAATAATGTGGACAAAGTACTTACACAAAGGGTTAGCACATTTGAAGCTTTCAGTTTTGATGAAAAGGGTCAGTATAGGATCATGATTTAAAGCAGGGACTATGGATACTGAGGAGTCTTCCTGTGGTGCTATAGGATAAGCACTGGACTTCTAACTGCAAGGTCGGCAGTTCAAACCTACCAGTTGTCCCTTGGAAGCCCTATACAGGGCCATTATGAGTAGGAACTGACTCAAAGGTGTTTAACAACAACAACATTATGGAGACAGAAGGAACCCTAGTAGCATACTGGGTTAGAGTTAGGTTGTTAACTGCAAGGTCAGCAGTTTGAATCTACCAGCTATTCTATGGGAGAAATATAAGACTTTCTGTTTCTGTAAAGGTTTACAACCTCAGAAACCCTAAACATGGTTGCTATGGGTTGGAATCAACTCCCTGGCACACAACTACCACCACCACCGTGGAGACTGAGCAGTTGGGGTGCAAGATTCAATTCTCTTGATACAACATTACAGAATATTTTTGGACAGTGCATATAAGGTGAGGGTTAGAGTCCCAATTACCTGATAAGGCAATGCTGTTGAGTTGACTTCTTTCAAGTGGAGGAGCCCATTTAACCCAAACTGAATATTGACCTGTTATTACCATAACCTAAAAAAAAAGAAAGAACAAATTCATTCTTGTATTTCTGCATTCATTCTGGATCCTACATTGCACTCATACATAGAAGACAGCTTGGTACCTGGGCTATGCCTTGGACAACCCGGATAACAATTAACAATGTCACTCCAGTATCAGCTGCCAGTGGAATGAAAAGATTCAGAACTGAGGAAATGAACAAGCCAACACCAACCACACGCTTGACTCCAAATATTCCAGCCACATAGCCACTAGAAATTGGAGCCACGAAGGAGGCGTAGTGGAGCGAGCTAAGAATGATCCCTTGGGTTTCAGGACTCCAGTCATACACAGGGGCCTAGAGGACAAAGAGAATCTCATTGTTTATTTTCCTTTAGTTAGAGAGCTGACAGTTTTTTAGTGTGTAAAGACTTAGAAGCAAAAAAAAATAATGAGTTCTTCTTCCTTTTATTTCACTTCAATTCCTCAATCTACTAACTTAAAAATAAATAAATAAACTAGTATCCAATTCACTTTTCACTTACTGAAACGCTATTAATCAACCAATAAAAATATAAGAAAACTTGTACGGAAAGAAAGTTTATAAAGCAGATAGCATAATATTCAAGGTAATTTGAAAAATGTGTAAAGAAAGAAACAAACAGAAGATATTACTCTGAGACTTCTTTGTAGAGGTTTTCATCATTGTAGAGGACGGAGCACAGTGAGTCTATCAGATAAGAACTGGACTGAAAACCACAAGGTCAGTGGTTTGAACCCATTAGCCACTCCAAGGGAGAAAGATGAGACTTCCTACTACCATAAAGATTGTTGTTGTTGTTAAGTGCCATCGCATTGATTCCGGTCCATAACGACACTTTATAGGGATTCCAAGAAGCACCTGGTGAGCTTGAACCACCAACCTTGCAGTTCAAACAACTTTACAGTCTGACACATTAGCCCACAGCGCCACACCAGGATTCCATAACAGCCTCAAAAACCCTATTTAGGGTCACTATGAGTTGGATGGCACTTAGCAACAAGAACAAAAGCTGTTTTTCTTATTAATTGCCATCAAGTTGGTTCTGACTCATAGAGTCCCTGAATAGGATGTGCAAGGAGCTGCTGATGGGTTTGAACCACTAACTTTACAGTTAGCAACCCAGTGCTTATCCTATAGCACCACACCAAGACTCCATATCTACAGATGTTGTTGTTGTTGTGAAGTGCCATTAAGTTGGATCCAACTCATAGCAACCCTGTATACACTTTCCAAGGAGCTGCTGGTGAGTTTGAACCGCCGATCTTCTGGTTCAAGCAGACCTATATATAGAGATGCTGTTGTTGTTATGTGCCATGGAATTGGTTCCGACTCATAGCGACCCTAAACAGGGTTTCCGAGGCTGTAAATCTTTACAGGAGCAGAAAGTCTCATCTTTCTCCGGCAGAACAGCCAGAAGTTTCGAACTGCTGACCTTGTGGTTCGCAGCCCAATGTGTAACCTTAAATTACCAAATGCTTCTGTTATTCTAAGTTCTGGTTATACTTGAAAAAAAAATGACAATATCATCACCTTAAATACATATTGTGATCCTTGTGCTGTTACTGGCATGTAGTAGACACTGTTTTTCTGGCTAAATGAATCACATATTCTGTTAATTCACATATTCGTAACTCAAATATTTTAGAGAAAGGAAGATCTAGAGTCTTATTACACTTACCATTGCTTTAAATTCCTTTAGAGTTTTGTTCGTGTAGTCCTGGGAGTCAGTGGGGGGCCTCTCTGTGGAGGTATTGGACTGGCTGGGTGGGACCGTGTGGTTCACCATAGCTGGGATGGTTATGCTCATGCTCATTTGTTGGGTGTAAATTGCAAAATTACAAAGTTGCAAAATGAAGGCCAGCCCATAACGGACAGAACAAAATCCTAAAACAAGAAGGAACAAAACATCTAATCAGATTGCTCTTCTCCTACTCTTTCTATGTTCAGAAAGAGACAAAATTGCTGTCTGAGAATCAGATACAGGGTGAACAGATGTCGCTTTGTTTGTATTTGAAGGATCCCTGTTCCTTGGGAGGTAAGGGTTGAGGTAGCACCCTTGGAAGTTTGCTCAAGGGGAGAATTAAAATATACATGGCTAGAGCAAGCATTAAGGACTAGCATACTGTGCAGGACCCTAGAACAATCTGAGGAGATTGGGACATGGATTTAGACAAAGAATTGATTGGGATTAGTGATTGATTGCATAGGGATAATGAGACAAGAAGTTGTTGTGGTTTACTTTCAGATACTTGCTGTCACAGCTGGGATGATTCAGGTACCATTTATAACTAGGGAGCCAGGAAGAGTAACATGTTTAAGGGGTGGAGGACAATGACACTAGAAAGGTAGGCTGGTGTTTGATTATAGAAGTATTTCATCTTCATCTGCACACTGTAATCTAGGCTTGCACAAAAATTGCCAGTGTTCATGGCAGCTCTAGGGCTTTCCCTGGAGTTGCATCCAGACACAGTAGTTTGGCATCAGTTATCCCTGCAGACAAAGTCCAGAGGTAATAGGGGATCATTGAACTGAAGCATGGGAGGACACAAATTCCTGGTAGTTTCCATGAAGCAAAATGACTGGAAATGGCTGACACTGCTTGCTGATGTATAGTGATGCTCTTGATAAGTTTCTGGAATTCAGAGTTAGAGCCTCATTTTTGGTTTAACTCTGTGAACATTGAGTCAGCATTCTCCATCCACAGATTCACACTGGAATTTTGATGAACATCACTCAAGATAAAGGTCACATTTAAAGTATTGCTTCTTCTAGCCAAGACAGGGTTGCTTCCCAATGTTTTCAAATCTTTTTCTTTGTCCTAAGGTGCAGAGAGCCATCTTCACTTCTGCTGTTTGACACAGTCCCAGCAGAGGGAGAAACATCATGCAAGGCAGATGATTCTCAGAAGCTGGCCTCTATCTCCTCTCTAGGATAAATCTGAATTCACTTGTAAAAATATATAATATTGCCATATTCATGGCTTTTACTGTGAGCTCTGCAGACCTTAGGAAGAAACCGGTCTGGCAACAACTGTTTCAGCTTTGGTGGGTTGAATTCAAACGGAATTGTATGAACCGCTTCCATTCACAGAAAACCTAAGTACAAAGTAACTGCATTTAAGAGATCACAAAAGCAGATAACAAACTAAAGTAAAGTTGACCGACCCCTATAGACCTTGCCACAATCAATTACCAGCTGGAATCCACAAACCCCCACTATTACATACAGGCACCTATGTAAAATGGCAGAGAATAGTGAACATAAGTGAAATATGGTCTAAACCTAATAATCTACATTTCCTGCAGCAATTAGCCAGGTTGGGCCTTATGCCTCACAGCTTCAAAAGAAAGAAACATAGGAACACTGTGCTTAAGCAATTTAATTAATAATTTAGAAAAGCAAAATAATTAAGTAGATGTTAGTAATACTTTTACTATGAAAATAGTAGTGTAGTATGTAGGATAGAAGATTGATAATCCCCTAGTAGAAACAATAAAGTAGTGGAGGCACTGATGATTAATAGAAACTTATATTACTAAGAAGATGTAATCAGGGGTCTGATAAGTGGAAATGATTTGTGTAAGGTTTAACTTGATCTTTTAGTGAGAATAAGAAGAAACAATTTATCACTTATGTAGGAGAGCAGATGATGTCAAAAGGAAAATGTTCAATGGTTGAAAAATAAACAGGACATGGAAAGGTCAGTTTGGACATCACAGAAATATTTTTGTTAAGGTTGTCTAATCACAGGGTAAAATAATGTTACAATTACAACTGTGTAATAATTCAAGGGAAAATCAAAGTATCAAATCATTATGTACTGTGTAATTTTAAGTATAAAAATAAAGACTTGCTGAGCCAGGGCAGAGAAAAAAGAGAGAAAGAGAGAAGAGAAGAAAAGAGAGAGAGCTCCATCAGCCAACTAAGTGGAGACTTCTCGATTGCTTTCATTTTCACTGACTCCGCATCTCCTCTAGTGTCCCGCGACCCTGCGAGAGCTGGACTCCCACACTAAGGTAAAAATGTGTAGTTATCTTCAGTTAGACCTCACACTTCCTAAATATACTTATCATTGTTTCTATATTTTTTACCCATCATTTTCATCAGTTATTTTATTTTTCCCCTTGAGTTTCGATTTAAAAAATATGGTGTGTGTGCAAATAATGAAAATAATTACTTTTGCCATTTAAAGCTCTTATTTCATTCTTTTAGATAATTTTATTCACTGGTATTTTCAAGACAATGTTAACTAAGATTGGGGAAAGTGGGTGTTCCTGTTATAGGTGAATTTACTAGGAATGAATAAAAAAAAATTACTGGGAATGAGCCTCATGACACACCATTACCTACGTTCCTGGTTATTGGTGTGTCATGTGCTTTTATTAAGCTATCTTATTTCTATCTTTAAATATTTAATATGAATACCTGAATTTTATCAAATTCATTAAACCTAGTGTCATATGGCTGGATTCCAATCCCAGCTGCTCTGTTTATAACTGTGCATTCTGAGTAAAGGAGCTTTGGTGGTACTAGAGGCTATGCATTGGACTGCTAACTGCAGTCAGCAGTTCAAACCCACCAGCCTCTCCATGGAAGAAAGATGAGGCTTTCTACCCCCACAAAGATTTACAGCCTTAGAAACCTTATACCGAGTTGCTATGAGTCAGAATTTGCTTGATGGCAGTGAGTCAGAGGCTTCTTGTTTAAAGATAGGAAACCAAAGCATGGAGAAATTAAGTTCATTGCCCCAGGTCACATGAAATTTAAGTAAAGAAGATAGTTGTCCTGTCTCCTTATGCTTTGCTGTGACAGGTTCTCACACTTTGCTTTTCTTTAATGACCTTGATAGTTTTAAGAAGTACTGGTCAGTTATGTGTAGCATGTCCTCAATTGATGTATCATGTCTTTCTATGGTTATATTGCTAAGCTGCACACTGTATTTAAAGTAATGTGTTTCAATCAATGTGCTTTTAGGAGGAAGGCCACAGAGTTAAATTGCCATTCTCATCACATCATATCAGAAGTGCGTACTGTCAACATGACATATCGTTGCTGTTAACTTTGATCATCTCACTTGAGTTAAGATTTAATTGATGTTTTAATTGCAATGTGATTTTATCTCCCTCTGTTTCATACATCTTAAGGTGGAGTATCTATATAAATTATGTAGAATATATAGGTATTTTCTGTAGGATATATAGGTATTTTCTGCTCTGAAAAACTTCACAGAAGCCACCAGAACATAATTTTATTCGTTTTATGGAATCATTTTTTAAATTTCCAACATGCTTTTGGCATGTTATTTTTCTTAATTTGTATTTACAAATTGTGTTTTCCTAGACAAATAATTTATTTAATCTACATTTCTCCAATAATTAGTATATTTTACTGTTTTAATTTTCATCTTTCTCATGATTATTTGTTATGTTTATTTCTGGTTGACTAAGCTAAGTAGTGAATTATTTTTTTATTAAAGAACCAGATTTTGGATACTTTTTTATATCCTGTCTATCATGATTTTCTACACTTAAGTTGCTGATTACAATTTTCTACATAACTGTCTGTGAAATTGTGTTGTTGTTAGCTACCAAGCAGTCAGTCTCTGATAAATAGCAACCCCCAAGTGCAAAATGCTGCCCAGTATAAGCCACCCCAATATCACTTCAGGGCCACTCAGACCAATAGGGCCCACAAGACTGCTTTTCAAAAGTAAGTAGATCCCCAGACCCTTCTTTCTTGTTCATCTTAGTCTAGAAGCTCCAAAGAAACCTGTTCAGCATCATGGCAACACACAAGACTCCACTCACAGATGGATGGTGACTGCTCATGAGGTACATTGGCCAGCAGTCAAACCCAAGTCTCCCACATACTAGATGAGAGCTCTACCACTGAAGTACCCCTGTCCTCCTTGAGGCTATAGACTCAATTAATCGAATGCTTAATTAAGTCATCTTTGTTTTTTTCTCTGCTCATTTATCACAATTTGATCCACTATTTTAAGATGCTTTTGAGTTCTCCATGTCTTTTTCAAGTCTCTGCTCCATGTCACTGACACGATTTCCTGTAGTAGAAGTTTCTTTCCTGGCTGCTGCTAATTCTATATTACCCAATTCTACAATGGAGTCCTGATGTGGTGCTGTGGGATAAAGCACTAGACCTCAAGGCCAGTTTGAACCACAAGATGGGCAGTTCAAACTACCAGCCACTCCTTGGAAACCCTATGAGTCTCTATGAGTGGGAATAGACTCGATAGCACTTAACAACAACAACAATTCTTCAATGACATTTTTTCTTTAATTTTGTTTCTTACTGTATTGGGTTTATCTATCATAGTTTCCTATTGATTTATTTCTTTGTTTAATACACTTTAAGGGTGTTTGTTCTTTGTTTCTAATTTTTTTTTTTTAATGGAAACAAATATTTCTTAATCTCCTCAGATGAAACAATAATGTTAGGATAACATTATGATCAACAGTATGAAGAAAAGACCCATCTTTCAGGCTGAATTTAGGTGCTAGCTCTTTGTGACTTAATGACATAGGTAAGCCATTTAATTTCTCTGTGCCTGAAAGGAGCTCTGGTAGCGTAGTGGTTACGAATCAGGCTGCAAACCGCAAGGTCAGCAGTTCAAAACTACCAGTTGCTCCGTGGGAGAAAGATGAGGCTTTCTGCTCCAGTAAAGATTTACAGCCTCGGAAACCCTGTTCGGGATTGCTATGGGTCAGAACCAATGCGACAGCATTTAACAACAACAACAACAAGTTTTATAATAATTAATTCTACAATGACAATTTTCCTCTTTAATTTCCTTTCTTATCTGTATTGGGCTCTCACATTTTTCCTCTAATTTATTTTTCATTTCATATACTCTAGGAC